AGACCTCCGCCAATCACGAGTAGGGCCGTCTCCGCCCAACTCAAGACCTCCGCCAATCACGAGTAGGGCCGTCTCCGCCCACATCAAGACCTACGCCAATCATGTGTAGGGCCGTCTCCGCCCACATCAAGACCTCCACCAATCACGAGTAGGGCCGTCTTCGCCCACATCAAGACCTACGCCAATCATGTGTAGGGCCGTCTCCGCCCACATCAAGACCTCCACCAATCACGAGTAGGGCCGTCTTCGCCCACATCAAGACCTCCACCAATCACGAGTAGGGCCGTCTCCGCCCACAGGACAACATGTACTGCCCCTACCTGAGCATTTTGCTAAATCACCAAATGTTCTGCTGAACTGAAACACTTTTGCTTGCATTTTGGTTCTAATTGTCCTTACATAGATTGATAAATAAATAAAAAATAACACCATGGTGATAAGCCTCTTGTAGCCACATTATAAAAACTAATAGTTTAGAAAAGCCGAACTTAAAAAGAAAAAAAAAATAGATTTGGGGGAAAAAAGACAACTTTTACAGAGCCCTGCAGTGACAGACATGACTGTGGCTTACCTCGGCTACTTTTGGTGGAACTCCATCTCCCAGGACTTCTCTGTAGAAGCACTGCTGGGTCATGTAATACGAGAGGCCACTGGTTCTCTTGAAGGCATCTTTCAGACGCTTCAGCTCCACATCAGTAACTGAAAAAACACAAACAGAAGCATTCCCATCAGCAGAGATAGGGAGGATTCCAACTTTTCATCTGAGATATTGTAGGGTTCATCGTCTCCTTGTTGCTCTTTGGGTGCGGCTAATAATCTGTTTTTTTGATTCATCACACTGGTTGAATGATCCTGAATAGATCTTCACTTGTCATAGTAGTAGTAGTCTTTATTTAGCTACTTATTGTCACAGTAGTCCATTTTGTTAATGTTAATCTCTGCTGTCACTTTGAGAGAATATAAATGAAAGTATCAGGTGAAATCATCCCGACTGCCTTTGAAATGTTTGATCTGTGTATAAATTCAATGATAAACACAAAACTAATTTGAAGAGGAGTTAGCATCTAGGGGTGTAAGAAAGTATTGATACACTGAAATATCGCGATATTTCATTTCCCAATTCTGTATCGATATTCTAAAGCCCTGTATCAATTTTTAATTAAGGTTTAAAACATCGACTTTCCGTTCAGCCGTTCATTTTTATGTTGTAGTTCAGCCTCTGGCCACTAGTTGGCAGCAGTGAGCCAGCCATTTGACTCCTCTACCTCTTGAGCGCCAGAGAGTAAGGGTAGCATTAGCATTGTAAGTAAACATTAGCTTTTCTTTTTTTTTCAGTATGAGTTTTTTTATTTAATAGAATTTTTGGACAAAAAAATCTCAATATATCACCTTGCTTACAGTATCGCAATATATCGTGATATATTGTATCGTGACCCCTCTGTCGTGATATGTATCGTATCGCCAAATTCTTGCCAATACACAGGCCAATTAGCATCTATGCAAACTCTTGATCAACAGTTAGCATTTAGGCTGGGAATTTTAAAAAAGGGTCATTTTCAAATTTTCGAACAAGTAGCTAAAATGACCAATGATTTTTATGTTGCAAAACATTTTTTTGTATTCTTGTGTGTTTAATTGTATGTATGTATGCATGTATGCACGGTTAGGTTCATGTCTATTTTTTTTCCTAATTTTGGTTCTGTATATTCCCACAATGAATTTGAACAAAACATTTCAGATGCAGTTGAAGTTCAGACTCAAAATTATTTTGCATAGAAATGCGAGGAACAAAAGCAGTTTTTAAATACAATCCCTTCATTTCAGGGGCTAAAAATAATTGGACAAATTGTAAATAAAATATTCATTTCTAATACGCTGTTCTAATCCTTGGTTGAAAAGCTTTTGTTCGTATTTTTCAGTCTACAAAAAAACAACCTTTAAAATAAAAGATTTATGAAGCTTTAGTGCTGTATGTTTCTATTTGTAGGTTTACAGTAAAATCAATATTTTGTCTCATTTCAACCCAACACCTCCAGCTTTCCAACAAGATCAGAACACTTCAAGCTCGAGTTCAGATGGAAGCWCAGTCATGAGAAAAAGAAAGTACAAGCTCTATTAACTCCAGAGTTTCATGTACTTGATTACAGAGCCGGCTCTTGGCATAGGCAAACTAGGCGGTCACCTAGAGCGCCATCTGCTGGAGGGGGCGCCAAACTGCAGAAGAAAAAAGTAATTATTTGTAATCCCTGGTTGTAACTCTGCTCAGCACCCCTTTCAATTAGCTTTGTCTTAAAAAAAACTATAATGAAGTATTTCAGGAAAAATAAACTACTCTACCCATAAAACATTTTCTCCCCCCCAATGCAGCAATCGCCCCCACCCTCTCTCTCATTTGATTGACATTGCACTGACTCGTCCTGCTCCGACACTCTGACGGGGGAGGGGCTAGTAGTGCCTCTCAGGTAGTGGTTTGTGTTGACAAACTCAATAACAACAAGTCTGTATTTTGTTGTCCCATACATGTCAACCTCTTCGGACATTTACCTGGATAAAAAGCCTCAAAAATCTGTAAATTTTGCAAAAAATCCATACAACTCGCACCCCAAGTTGGAAGATGGCTATTTAATGTTATTTATTGTTTTTAAAATCATCCTACAGGCTCTAACATGTTAGATAAAATTGAAAATGAGGTTTTGAAAAAATCTGTAAGGTTTGAAATAATCTGTGAGATTGCTCTATACGTCCGTATACCTGCAAAATGACGTAAAATCCTTATAACTTATGGACAATCTGTACAAGTTGGCATGTATGTTGTTATTTATTTGCTTTCTGGGACCTTGTTTTTAGGGGTTTAGATTGGGGTGGGTGGGACATAGTTCGGGGGCAAGTTGAAGCCTTGCGCTTCAACTTGCTTAGTGCACCAAAATGGCTAGAGCCAGCACTGTACTTGAACATAATGAAAGGATCTGGTCTAATACCAGGTCCTAAAATTCTTCAAATCTAACATCAAGTAAACAAAAACAAACAGCTGATTCCACTTTTATTAAATGAAGAAGAATGAGGTCAAAACATTACATGTCCAGCCCACAATCCAGCAGCTTGTAGCAGAAAGAACTCAGTAATGTTTCCTGTAGGATTTTAAATCTGTCACGTGGTTGTGGAGGACATTTGGCCCACTCTAACGTTGTTTCAGCTCAGTCGTTCAGTCTGGTTGAGGTTCTGGACTCTGACTGGACCACTGAAGCACACTGATTATTTTCTACTCCATGAGTTCGTGGTCCACTCAATGACTGTGACAAGCCCAAACCATCAGACCTCCACCTCCGTGCTGACAGCTGGGAGGAGCTGTTTGTGTTGATATTTTGTTTTCACCAAACATGGCGCTGTGCATTATGGGTAAACATCTCCACATTGGTCCTGAAATGTTTTGGTTAAATATTTGTGTTTATTGATTAAATAATGAGATGGTGGAAACTGTTGCGTGTTGTACCTGTAAGGTTGGACTGAAATGGTTTTAGAAGCTGATATCAGATCAGTGTCTCCTAGGTGGAGTCTGACCTTCAGTTTCATGTCTGCTTATATAACTTCCTGCTTGTTCTTCACAGTTTACTGTAAGTCACAGCGTATTTCACATTAAGCTACATAGAAAACTACTATTTACAGATACAACAAGAGCAACCAGTCATACTGTGATGTAATGTTACTTCCAGTATCAGCTGTTTACACTTATCACAGTTGTTCCTGCTGCACTGACATTTATCTGGAGGAAAGGAACTGATTCTGAATTTGACACCAACCTTAGGAGACAAGAAASTTTGTTTTGTCTTCAAGATAAACCACATACTGGCTGCCTGCTTGATAGGAAGGTGTGCTTCCCACAAAACACCTTAAAGCAGTCTGAAACGTGAAATCAATAAGTAAAAAACTGTTGTTTGAATGGGTAACCATTAAAGAACATCTGAGAACACAAATACATACCGACTTCTTTTTTTTTTCAGTTTTAGGAAGAACATCAAAGTCATTAAGTATCATTACCTCCAAACCAGTCTTGTATAAAGTACCGCAAAGTGATACTTGAGTAAAAGTACAAGTATCTTACCATAAAATTACTTTGGTAAAAGTTAAAGTCGCTGAGTATATTACTTGGGTAATAGTCTGAAAGTATCTGATATTTTTTTGTACTTAAGTATCAAAAGTAAATTTCTGACATAAAATGTACTTAAGTATTAAAAGTAAAAGTATTGAGTAAAAATGAGTGGTTAGATTTTCCAAAATGATATTTATTGGAAGGTGGCCTCCCCGAAAAATGTTTTTCTAAATGACTATTAAAGTATTAATACTAAAAAATTTAGGATGCAGTAATGTAGCTGTTTCAGATTTATACTGTATATATTACTACATCTTCAGTCTACATTCAGGACATATCTGTCCTGCTGGAGTGTGACATGTGTGTTGTGCAGCTGTGATGGATTGTGTACAAACTAATACAGTGTAAAAATTTTATATCCATATTTGTAGGTCTCATTCAACCACAATTCCATTCACTCTATCCAGGAGGCACAGTTTATCTTTACAGTATTTCTTTTAATAAAAAAAAACCTATAAAAACAAGCAAAAATGAACTAAAAGTAACAACTTTATACTTTTTGCCCTTTTTTAAAAATGTAAGGAGTAGAAGTAAAAAGTAGGCTGAAAAATAATTACTCAAGTGAAGTACAGATACCCAAAAATTCTACTTCAGTACAGTAAAGAAGTATTTGTACTTGGTTACTTACAACTCTGCTCCAAACAGTGCATGGGGGAACATTTACCAAACCTAATGGGAAATTTTATGAACTTAAAAAGTGGTCAGGCAACTGGATGCATATCCCTCAAATTTTGCATCTCCTGATTTGATAAGTGGAATTATTTATTATTATTATTATTATTATTATTATTATTATTATTATTATTGCACATTAGGGAGCTCTGCGAGCTCAGTGGTCAGTGCTGTGGTCTCATCATCCTGGTTTGAGTTGCAGGTTGCTCTTGAACAACAAAAATGTGTCAGCAGCTCCAATGTAAAAAACAAAATCACTTCTCCTGGACTGTCTAAAATACTCCAGACTGATTTTATTTTATTTTTTTTAAATTGGCATACTAAATGGAGGGAAAGGTGAAGTTAAAAAACCTTCAGAGCATTAACTTTAGTAATGGAAATGCAGCTTTAATGCTGCTGGGGATGGAAAAGCTTTTAATTCAATTAAGCCAATCAAACATGTACATAAGAGCCAATCACAACCTTTTTCATTACTCAAGGGTTCCTGCTGAGCTAAGAAACAACTCTGAGGCAGGAGGTAATAAAAAGTAACCCTGGCAAACCTAGCAATAAGGAACTACTGTATACTCAAAGGGCAAAAACAAAGGTGAACCCACGGTACATACTCAGTTTGTGGTCACTTCCTGTCTCTTTATAGCCTGACTGACCCACACTACAGGGACTTTAAATTTGCATAATAAGCCTCTTTCACAAAACAATTCCGCAAAATCACTAAACAGACTGGTCCGGCTTGAAGCTAGGGGTGGGCAATGTATCTAATATACTTGATGTATCCCGAGTTTTTCAATGTACGATGGTTAAAATGGCTTTATCGTAAACATTGAGTATCAATTATCATGCAAACAATAAGCAGCATCTCTGCAAGTTTAACTTTTCCAACACACTTGAACGCATCACTAGCCCCCTCCCCTAACATGCCGTTCTGGGTCAGTCCATTTAACGGTCACTGTTTATATTTTTGTTTTTGTATTTTAAAGACATCATATTTTTGATTTTACATTTATGTTAAAAGCACAAGAACACCTTTTTAAGTTTCAATGGTTTATTTTTCCCTTTCACTTGATGTTTTGCTGCTGTGGTTCATTTATTTTTGAGTTTATTAAAGATCTAGATTCTAGAGTGTAGACAACAAAAAGACAGTGGCAATAATTCCATTAGTGAAAAACTTATGTTTGACACTGATAGTTAAAATAAAACATTTACATTTGTTCAGATTCAGTATTTATATTTTTTGGATCAGTTTTAATCAATTTTTCATTGATTTTGGACGTATCGTGATATATATATCGTGTATCATGATACAGACAAAAACTCTTGGGATATAAGACTTTCCTCATGTCGTCCAGGCCCAGCCCTACTTTAAGCCCCCTCATAAGTCACAGGAAAAGCCATCCAGTTCCCGCTCACATGTACGTGTTCATAAATGAACCCAGCAGCACAGAACCTAAAGAGGAGTGGAGCAGATCTCAGCTGGGCTGAAGAGAACAGAGATATATTTATAGTGTAACGGACGTCTGCCTCATATTAACCAAAACAAACTGAATTAACTTACTTTAGTGATCCTGTGGTTCAATATTTTTAAGCTGGATACACAGTTACTGTTTTTTGTCATCTTTAATATTCCCTCAGTAATAAATGTGTTGATTAATCCTGCAGTCACTCACTAGCTGCGTTTCCATTGCAAATGTGCACAAAACTTTGTCAATATTCTGTTAATGTCGAAAAACACAGTTTTAGAACTGCAGTGTTTCCATTAAGTAAGAAATGCTATTAAAGTCACGCATGAATACATTTGTTCTCATGATAAGTCATCACAAACATGGCAGCGATGGATGTAAACACATAGCATGTTGCTACCACGACACTA